GTGAAACCTTTCAGAGGTCAGTTTGGGTCAGTTAACCCTTCCCTGAGTGGTTAACTAGGTCATTCTGATTTGTGAAAACTTTCACAGATCAGTTTGGGTCAGTTAACCCTTCCCTGAGTGGTTAACTAGGTCATTCTGATTTGTGAAAACTTTCACAGATCAGTTTGGGTCAGTTAACCCTTCCCTGAGTGGTTAACTAGGTCATTCTGATTTGTGAAAACTTTCACAGATCAGTTTGGGTCAGTTAACCCTTCCCTGAGTGGTTAACTAGGTCATCAGTTTGGGTCAATTAACCCTTCCCTGAGTGGTTAACTTGGCCATTCTGATTTGTGAAACCTTTCAGAGGTCAGTTTGGGTCAGTTAACCCTTCCCTGAGTCGGTAACTAGGTCATTCTGATTTGTGAAAACTTTCACAGATCAGTTTGGGTCAGTTAACCCTTCCCTGAGTGGTTAACTAGGTCATCAGTTTGGGTCAATTAACCCTTCCCTGAGTGGTTAACTTGGCCATTCTGATTTGTGAAACCTTTCAGAGGTCAGTTTGGGTCAGTTAACCCTTCCCTGAGTGGTTAACTAGGTCATTCTGATTTGTGAAAACTTTCACAGATCAGTTTGGGTCAGTTAACCCTTCCCTGAGTGGTTAACTAGGTCATTCTGATTTGTGAAAACTTTCACAGATCAGTTTGGGTCAGTTAACCCTTCCCTGAGTGGTTAACTAGGTCATTCTGATTTGTGAAAACTTTCACAGATTAGTTTGGGTCAGTTAACCCTTCGCCGGTTGGTTAACTAGGTCATTCTGATTTGTAAAAACTCTCACAGATCAGTTTGGGTCAGTTAACCCTTCCCTGAGTGGTTAACTTGGTCATTCTGATTTGTAAAAACCTTTCAGAGGTCAGTTTTGGTCAGTTAACCCTCTGGGGTCCAAGGTGTTTTTGGGGTCCTTGAGATGTTTTGACATACTCTGACATTTCTGCTTTTTTCAGTTGCTTATAAACATATTACTGGCAAAGGTGTAATTACACTCTATTTAGCACACACAGGGCTACCATAATGTGTTATCAACATGTATGTACATTTTTGTATTTTTGAGAGAATATTGTTTATGCGTGGTTATTGAAAAAACTAAAACTTAAAGTTTCTGAAATAAGGCCACAAAACACATACTAAATATCTGTCCACAAGACTTTTGACTAATGGATGTTGTCGCCTAGAGTTTTTTCTTCAAAATGATCTGAAAATCATCCTTTCTAATCATTCACATAAAACAATAGATTGGTTTAAATTTAAAAATGACACTTTTTGTTTGGAAAGGCAATATGCGCAGGGGTGTGACCTGCTGTGATTCACACCTGAGAAGACAATGGGCCCGCATAATGAGCGCATAATGGGGCTGCATACTAATGACCCTTTCATTCAGGTGTGACTGAGCCACAAGAATGCAATGAAAAAAAAATATATATATATATATATATATATATATATATATATATATATATATATATATATATATATATATATATATATGCCTATATAATACAAAATTGGTTCACAGTTCCAATTATTTATTTATTTTTCAAATTGTGCTTGCAAATTGTATAATATCAAATGTAAAAATGTCTAGTAATTGTGCAGTTAATTATCATACTGTTTTTACAGAAAGTTTGGGAATGTGTCCCAAATGTGTCACTAATAAAACACAATATAAATAATTTAAAGAGGAGGCTTATATTGAGCTTTTAAGATTTACCTAAGATTTATTTATATGTAGCCTACATATATTTTTGCTATTTTAATAAAAAGGTTACAATTACAACAACAATTAAAATTTTAAGGTTTAGACTATTAAGAATTTGGTTCAGAGAATGGGGTTTAGTGTTTTAGCAATTCAGAAAAACTGTAACATTAAAATGATCTTATCTATCTTTGTCTCCACCAAGTGGAGTTATTTACTACGAACAGTTATAGAGGAAGACCACAAGAATGGCAGCCTGTGACAGATAGTTTGAGAAAAATGCTCTGGCTATGGTAATGAAAAAAAATGTGCTTAACCAAAATCTAGTGTAATGACTCAAAATAAAGGTATGTTATAGGAGATCCATGGAGACCTTCCCATGTTATTTTGCAAGGTAGGCCTACCTTTTCAGAAGAATATGCAGAATGTTAAAAAATGCTTTTGGTGAGAATAGCAGAGATTATTCTCAGTTGAATCGTTCAGTCAGTGGATTCAGTGTAAAAACTCGATGTTCTTGTTGTACAACAATAGAATTTAAAGTGTCGCTGATCAACTTTTTATCCATGATTTTCCCCTGAAAGAACTTAGATTTATAATTTAATGTAATGACACCTCCCTAATATGACAATGAGACAGAGCCCCTTTAGCAGCCGCAACCACGAGCAACCGAGGAGGCTGATGGTGCAAATTACATAATCTCCATCTCATCTGATCTCTTGTAAAACACAGTAATCCTCTTTAAAACTGCGACACCCGCTGCCGTTCGGCTAAACCCATTTGTCTTTTTAATTGCATGTGAAGTTTCTGAAGTCCACATGGTTTCGCTGTCAGGAGGAATTGAGGTGGAATGAAGATGTAGTGAAGGTCAGGCTTGGAGCAGCCGCAGTCTAGAGCTCGAGAAGAATAAAGTGGACGTCATTTATCCCTCATTTCCTGTGATTGAAATAGTCACTTTCATTCAGAAAGCTCAGAAAATGCCAAAATAATAAACCATAAAGCATTCACGTTCTTTCAAAAGAATCACATTTCAGCTGCGATGTCGACAAGGATGAGAAATGACTAGGTGTGTTATAGGTGCAGTGGAGAGACTTTCAGAGATTGGACACATGACCGTTTAGATTGGTCAGTGTCAATGTTAAACTCCAAGATGATATATTTGCCTTGAACATTTTTTTCATCTATTATGTGTTTACAACATCTTAAAACGTTGTGCCTTGTATGTGCAGCCACTTTTAACTAGAGCTTGATGTTACAATGTTATCAGAGTAAATAAAGGCAGCATTTTGCAGGAAAGCACAAGCCTGAGGCCCTGAGTCTAAATTTGCCTATTTTCCTTTAATCATAGATCTCTTTTGTGATGGCATAATACTCCTAGTGTTCAGCTGAAAAGTCAAGTGCAGGTTCATAGGGTATTACGAAATGAATAAAAATATTTGTTGGTTCACCCTCTCAACATTTTTTTAGGTTAGCTTATGGAGAACAATAACAATATCATCACCTATAAGGAAATTAATCTGAATGGTTATGGCTTTAAAGGTAAATCTGTGTCCATGTGTGTTTGAGTCACAGAAGTCACAAGCTCACAAACACAGTTCATATCAGGAAGCCAGAATAACCCTGGCAGGCCTGAAATAATTTGACTATTTTACATTTGACTAATTTATTATGTGTGTGTGTGTGTGTGTGTGTGTGTGTGTGTGTGTGTGTGTGTGTGTGTGTGTGTGTGTGTGTTTAATAAAAGTATTAAGAATCAAATGTTTAATAAAATTACTTATTCTTTCATTCATTAATTTGTATATAAATAAAAGTATTTTTGGATGAAAATTTTGTTTACAATACTTTTTATTACATTTGACACTTGATTTTGTTTGTTTAAAGGGTTTCCTATAAAATGACACCAATATTTTGCATTTAGGCCTACTTCACTGTATGTGGGTATGGGGAGCCATCAGATTTGGGTATGTCCAATTTCATGCGGAATTCCAAAATAACCCAAAGAGCTTAAGAGCTTAACTATTTTTTATTTCAGTTTTAGTTTCAGAAATTGTAGTTCTTCATTTATTTAATATTTTAGTGTCTAATTTTCATTCAAGTTTTTCATCAAATATTTACATTTTATTTCATTTCAGCTTTATTTCAATTACCGAAAATTGTTTTAGTTTTAGTTAACAATCACAACCCTGTCTACTTGACACCAATAAGTAAACACAACTTTTACATTCACATCAACAAAAGTATGGCAGAGCTCCATAAATCCCTGATTCACTTATTAAACTGAATTATTTAGTCATTACTTACATAATTAAGCCTCTAAAGTCCTCGTGCTGTCCCAGATACTGCCATTCTTGTCCCAGCATGTGAGGCACCCATCCTTTGTCTCCTGCTGACCATGCTATCACCAGTGTTCGTGATTCATCACAAGACTGTTTCATTAGTGACTACACTGTCCTCAATAAGAGATCGAATATAAAAGGAAGCACGACAGAGCCAGGGCTTCTTTGATAAATAGCCTATGGTTAAGAACATTTATTTGTTGTTCACATTGACATGAAAAGCTGCTGCGGTGCCCTCGGGTAGACGAGAGAGTCTTAAAGTCCTTGAGTTTTTTCAGATCTTCCTGAGATATGTGAGAGATAACCTGCACTGTATATTTAAACATTTTTAAAATCCTCATTAAATTATAATGATCTTTCTTATGAGCTTTCTTGAGAACAGACAAAAGGCCTGGTTTTTTCTTCTGTTCATTCATTCACCTCTGCCGAATTAGACGCCTTCCTGGGTCAGCATGTTTGTTGATCCTGGAACAACATTCCTGTCCGAAAATTGAATCCTAACCATATCCCTACCCCCAAACCTTATAAGTTATCCCTAAAATCAGAGGTGTAGAAGCACATAACCCTGCAGTTGTAAGCCTAAACTTGACATAAACTGTAAACTTATCCCTCAAACCTGATTGGTTGATTGGAATGTTGTTCCAGGACCATGTTGCACTTGGTGAAATCAGGTTCTGCACATAGAGTTCATGATCAATAAACGGTAGAGGAAGAAATGTCTTTCGAAAGTTGATGGAGAAAGTGCTGTGCAAGTGAGTCTCTCGCATTACATGTCAATCATTGCCTCCTGGTTGTTGACATGTAACAGGAGCATTTGTGGACCAAAAGTGTTTTTAATGTTGAGTTGTTAACCAGAATGCCTTGTATTGTCCATCAGTGCGTGGTGAAGTGTAAAAGGCCGTGTTGCCGAAGGCTGTGAATCAGGCTGGTCTCATGACTGCCACAGCTCTCTGTTCACTCTTTGTTTGTTTGCCAGCAGGCTAAATTTGCTCTCCATGACAAGTATAAAAGAACACCATCTTCTCCTTCCCATCAAAGAGGATACTTACAGTTACAGAACTGCCGCGGATGATATAGAAGACTTTAGATGAACTAAAAAACAGGGGAATAAGCAAGCAATGGGAAACTATCAAGGAAAACAGAATGACAAGGTTGTGATTGGTTAAACAGCTTTTTTTTGGAAAATCAGGTTTAATATAGGTCACAATTTCGGTTAAATCCATCTGGAATCATCTTCTTCTTTCTATCAGCATTGTGGAGAGGATGAGTAAGTGTAAGAAAGAGTTGAGTGAGAAAGAGAGAGAACGGTTGCTCATCCGCAGGGCCAGCGGAGCCAACGCCTCTCAGCTGGCTCATATGGAGAAGATGCTGCAAGAAACCAAAGGCCTGCTGGAGAAGAAGACAGAGACAGAGAGCAAAGCATGTGGTGACACTATGGGTATGTGTTTATGAATATCTTCAAATGGAATGTCTGTGAATGTGAACCTTGCATTACTAAGTCAAAATAATGTACCTTGTTTTACAGTATAAATATGTAGACATCGTTAAAACAACATTTTCTTGAATTTCAATGAATGTGATATATATAAACATTCTTGAAAAAGGTCAACATTGTAAAATAATCCGTTTTTGGAAAATATATCTTGCATTTATTGGTCTGATTCAATTGACATTTTTTTTCTCTTTTTAAACAAAACTTCTAAACACATTTTCTTCAAATAAGACAAAAACACAAAATAAATAAGAAAATCAAATGAAATTCAAAACATGTTCTATTAAACTCAACAGTTCTAAATTCTAATGTCTTATATTATAAATATTTATTTTACTTCTTATGTAAATTTGTTTGAGGTATGTTTCCATATTTTTACTAGAAAACAAGATGTATGTTATTTAAAAAACTTTTTTTTTTGCACTGCATTCCACTAATACCCAGCTAACAGCGAACGTTCTCAGAACTTTGGCTAACATTCTCACAAAGTTCTCTCAAAGTTATGAACAAACATTGTTCCAATAATGTTAATAAAATATTTGTTCAAACGTAGATTTTTTTATGTTCTCAAAACATTAGCGCAAAAACGTTATTTATACACTTTCAATGGAACTTTTTTCCTGAAACGTTTTAGCTGGACGTTCGTTTAACGTTTTTAGAATGACACTACATGTTTCAGAATGCTCTGAGACTATGTAAAAGTAACTTTCCCATAATGTTTGCAAAATGATCATATGGGGTGTTTCATTAATGTTCGTATAACCAATAATTCTTTTTTTTTTTAAGTCGTCATGAAAAAAGAAATTGCAATAGTCTTTTCTTCCCTATTGTGACGTATATCCGAGTGAAAAGGATTTGATTGGATCATTGGATCGTTGTGGTTTGCTATTGGTCAATCTCATGCGAGCAATCCCGCCCTCATGCCAGTAAACACATCATCAGAAAAAAAGAAGAGATGTCGCTGCAAGACGAAGGGGACGATATTCCATAAAAAAAATAAGAATTGTCCATTTTGATTCCATGGTGTCTTTAATAAACAGGTCATTTTTAATTTTAAACTGTGGGAAAACGTTTTTTTATTAGCTTGGTAGCTACTTTTTATAAAGGCTATATTCGTGGTTTCCATTTTGACAAATGAATGTGTGTTGAGTCTGACTCTTGTGTTTTTGCTCTGGTCTTAGTGTCAGATCTGGAGCAGAAGGTCCAGCGCAGCAAGCGAGACCGCCGTAACTCCCTCCACCGCACACAGCTGCTGGAGAGTCAGATGAAGACGGTTCGAGGTGAGCTCGTGGGCACGCTGGACCACCTGGAGGAACTGCGCAACATATTGCGTCGCTCACAGCAGAAATCAGAAGAGCGGGAAGCAGCCATGCAAAAACTTGCTGCAGGGCTGAGGTGAGACATCACCTGTCCACCTTCAGTTCATCTCGTCGTGAAGACTTGACGGCACCGCTGTTCATCTGAAATAGTTATAACTTATAAGTGACATTATGTTTCACATTGGTTCACACATTCCTGTGCAACCAGATGCTGTTGTAATATCTCTGTTGGATAATTAAAGCATGCCACAATTATTTAAATGGCATGTGTTTACCCTCCAAAGATAGACACAGTTCTCCCATTTTGGTTGTCAAGAACTCTGATGTCATGACATCCTGTTTTTATATCCTGTTTTCACTGAAATGCAGCCTTAAACCATAATTTATTATTTAAGTATAGACATCCACGGAATGCCATGTTAACTTGTCAAATCAATTTTACGCCCTGTCACATTTGACACATTTTATTGTGCTTATTTAACTGTATGATAGCTTCAGGAAAGTGCTTTTTGTTTTAGTTTGTCTGCACAGGATTTGTTTTGTAAGACAACAGATTGGAAATAATGTCTCGTTATATATGTAGTATAAGGCAAGTGGCAAATGAGTCCACCATTTCTTGATATGAATGCCTTGGTCACCTATATTCATGGCTGCTTTGGCTTTTTAAAAATTGTTTAAAGGTTTATTCCTGTGAACTTTCACATGATCTTCAATGTTACACATGCTGTTTCAACATTATTAGCACCAATTCAGTAATGCAGGTAAACTTTAAAGGCTGTGTGTGTTCATGATTTTGTTCATTAAAATATTGAAACGTCCTCCAGGTTGTACTTTATGAAAAGAAAACAGAAACATTATATCCATTTCAGTTGTGGATTTCCTCCCCATATCCTAAAGATCACTTTTTCATGTTGTTTTCGGGAGCTTTAGTATAAGATTCAACCCTAAATCTACTTTTCAGATCCTCTGCTTTTACTGAAGTTCTCTCATACTTTATGGCCTCATTCCACTCTTGCTAGAGAGATATATAACACCACTGACCTGTCCTCACTTTGCCTTGTGTTGAAAGGTTAATGGTACTTTCCCCCTCGTTAAAAAAATGTTTTACACATAAATACATTTATTTTTTTGTAAAATATGTTTAAAATCTAGTACACTCACCTGTAATGGTTGCAGTAATTGCTTCAGTTATAAGTGCCTTAATGAATTTTGCACAGAGCGGGTAACCTCATAGAGGTCGACAGAAGAACACCTTTGTTGGTGGACTGAATTAATCTTAGTTGACTTTGAAAAGTGCATTTCTACAATGGTGTTGGTATCTGAAAACTGCTGCTTTTGCATGATACATATACATAGCTTAGATTAAACCAGGATTAGGCCTTAGTTCAATTAGGACATTTAAGTAGCTTTTATAAACGTGCCTTAAAAAAATTTGGTGTGCATCTCGAGACAAAACAGGCACTGACATATTTTACGATATGTCAGTGCAAGTTGCTTTCAGTTAAAACGGGTCAAACATGCATTTTAGTGTGGGACTAGATTCAAGCATTGTCTGTGAAACCGGGCAATATAATGCCCATCACAAATACATCACAAATTACTAAAAAAAAATATTACCCTAAACATTTCCTATAGGCCTACATACTAAAATTGAAAGTGAATGAAAAAGAAAAAGAAAATTATAATACAATATATTTTTTGTACCAATAGCATTTTTCTACTTGCTTCATATCAGGGGCAAGAAACTATTTTCTTGTAGTGTATTAGTCTAACTCTTCCTAGCATTTAATTTTTTTTTTTTAATTGTCAGCCGCCGCCAACATTTTTAATCGTTTTCACAAAAATGTAATGGTCCCTAGAATATTTTGTTGAATCAATATTTGAACATGCAATATATCAAAAGAAACAACTAACCCTCTGCTTAAAAAAAAAGTTTTATTCTACCCGCATTATTTTTTATCAACACTTGAATGTGGGTAAGTTTAAATAAAGCAACACTGAACAAAAAGCTGAAAACTGCGGGGTTTTTTTTTAAGAATACAACGTGCAAAATGAATAGCCTACTCTTATCACTTGTTTCTGCTCCTTTTGCCTGTATTTTGATCGGGAATTTCTGTACTCTTTCAGAAGATGCGTAATAGCGCCCCCTACCGTATAACAGTGCAATTCGGTCAATGGCAGGGAAGTGTTGTCTCATAAATGACGGAAAATTCCCTCAAATAGACGGAAAGAGTAAGTATCTATGTCGCTACACAACATTTTCTTGTAGAGACATCAATAAATCCCTGTGAAATACTGAACAGTTTTATGACACGTGAAAGATTCATTCGTTTTTGAGCTGGAGGCTGCAGCTGACAAGACTCAGAGGGTGGTCAATAACTGCATCCAGAAAGTGAGTTTTAAATCAAATATGAAAAATAAATAGGTAAATAAAATGAATTCAAGGTATGTTCTCAAGACTCAACAGTTCTAAGTTATATTTATTAATGTAGTTTTTTAATTGTTCAAAAACTTGCATATGATTTGTGCTCAGATAGGTTCTAAGTTGTACGGTCATGCAGGGGCGTAATTTGTGGGGGGGATGGGGGGGATATACCCCCCCCCCCCCCCCCCCCCCCCCCCCCCCATATTTAAATCTATGCATTACAACCCCCCATTATTTATACCATGATCACAATATCAGGAGGCATACCCAAACTTCAACCCCCCCAATGTTCAAACCAAATCTACGCCCTTGCGGTCATGTACAGGGCAGTGAGATCATGGACTGGTGAATCCAAGCTATATTATAATCTTATGGGGCGGGCAACATAAATTGAATCTTTAGTATTACATAAATTGCATTATGCCTATTTCAGGTTTCTTCCCTCTGGCAGGTTATTATGAATCTCAAAATATCAACTTATCTGTTAGCTGATAAGCATCAACAGTATAGCCTACAGAGCTCTGGATGGCCTGTGAGTGAATTAATATACTAAAATCTCAGGTGCTTTATTTAAACCAAACTCTCTAAACCCTCTCATGTCACTGCTTAGAGAATGGAATATTAATATGCTGGAAACTTTGGGTCATTCTCAGGTAACGTGCATGCCCATTTTATTTAATTATTTATTTTGTAATTATAATGGTGATGAAAGGATAGTCTGATATTATAAAAGAAAAATCTTGATAAGCATTTGGTGTTGTTCACCTTGCATACATTTATATACTGGCCAGCAGGGCGGCAATGTTCAGTTTGGCCTTGTCCAAATGAGAGTTTCAAGGAGGTTTTTCACCCTCTATCATTCCCATCTTTAAGAATTACTTTAATTCTTATACTGCCAGAATAAATCTCTTCACTTCACTTCAGACTTGCAATCTATTGTCTCTCTATTTTTACGAATTCTGAATAATCTTTGTTAATATTTTAGTAATGTTTTGAAAAAATATTTTTAAATTAGTTCTTTGTCTTACTTGCAAATCTATCGCTATGCTTTTAAATCAATAATAATTATTATTAAAAATAAATATAATGGGTTTAATCATTTTTTGCATGTGCTACTCACACCATGGTCTCCATTAAATGTTTTATGGTCATCATTGTCATAATAATGCATGAGTATTTGTTTGTGCTTTGATTAAGATCAAGAGTGGGATCTATTGCTAAAAACAATGGAGGAAAAAATTTGTAAATCAATTTGTCTTGTGGATTTAAGAGTAAGATGAAACATTTGGAAGAGGACATGCAAACAATGAAAGGCCTACAAAAAAGAAAAAAATCTAAAATATAGAACCTCACTCATCCAAAGCCTCCACACACTATTAGCAGCACCAGACACCACTATTCATGCTGATACATGTTCAAAACCATGCAGGAAACTTGCAGGAATTTTTATCTATATTTGTAAAAGAATTTTCAGTGGAAGTTTACACTAAAATATATCTGCTATGCAACACTGCAGTGCACCTATGAAATGTTGTGTAATTTGCTGTATTTAATGTAGGTGTGCTGAAGGACTCAGATTGAGTGTATACGTGTTAAGAAATGTAGTCATGAAAGTGTACTATCTTTAACAACAAGGGGAAAGCAAGATTTTTAAATCTACAAAATCATAAAAAATGCACTACTTAATTTGCACAGAGGTTTTCGGATTGGCGGAAAGACCATTAAGCACAATTAAGTGGCCTTTTATTTTATTAATGTTGTATTATGTGCAAATACACTTTTAAAATTTAAAGGACAATTCAAAACATTTAAGCGCACTTCTTTTTCACAATGGTGGCCCTAATCCAATCGGCATATAAAGGGTATCAGACTCATTAAAGGTAGGGTAGGCAATGTTTTTCATAAACACTTTTTGTTTTACTGGTTGAAACTCTCTTCACATTCTGATAGCAATCACTAATACGTAGAAGTGTCTTAATATAAAATATATTGAAAAAGTGTATATCTTCTGTGGAAGTCTCAGGACCAAAAAATGGTCACCATTGCATTCGAATGTCCTACCTGCCTGTCAACCTGTATTTCCATACTTCCGCACACCCTGCTCGCAGACATCACACGTCATCAGCTCGTTCCATAAGGCTATGCATAGTTATAACCTGTTTCCCAATTCAGAGGGGCCATTCTTCGAAGGTCGGACCGAGCATTGTTAAATGGGACGGTCTAGCACAAGGAGGATTGTTCTTGTCGCCTAGTACCTGTGACAGCTGCTGTTGATGAGTGGCAGCTTGTACTGGACTTGGTTCACAAACTGTTTAAATATGTTTACCATGGTACATTTCTCTATAATAAAGAGTTTAAACGATTTATAATTGCATCTTAGTATGATATGTCAACATGAATGGCTTAAAGGTTTTTTTTTTAATCATTAGATATTTATGTAAGCTGAAACCCAATACTTGCGTTTAAAAGTTCCACAACTTATCTAAAAAAAAAAATCTTTCGTCAGCACGCAATGAATTCTGGGGTATGCAAGGCCGTGAAGGATCCATCTGTTGTATCCTTCATTGCACGGGAAATGTAGGACGCATTTGGAGGCTGCGTTTGAAGGAGCCTTCGAATTGGGACAGCCTTCGTCGCACCGCTGTGACGCAATTGGCCTTCAAATGTGGCCTTCGAAGAATGCAGCCTTTGAATTGCACTGTAAACCCTAACGCTCAAAATACTTAA